TCCCTATAAATCCTATAGAGTTTTAAATTGTAGTTAACTGAGAACTCAACAGGTAAAACATTTTAAAATACTCATTAAAATAGGAGTGTAATTGCAATTAATTCAAGAGTAGAGTGCTTCCGATGTTTAAAAATGAGCCTTACCTTTGTTTTGGGTTCTAGAATTTTTACTCCATAAATTGATATTTGCAACTCAACTTTAGGAATTTTCTGGCCTTCAGATTTCTTGATATGTCTTGCAAACTACAAATGAAAATTTATTCACAAAACTGTAATTCTGTTTCTATAGAAAATGAACACATATATTTGGAGCTCATATTCAGTGTTGAAATTTCATTAAATAAATTATTGCCCATTATAAAGTATTTTTATAAACTCCACACGGCCCCCAAATATTTAGAAATCAAACTGAAGCTAAGGATTGAAGTAATTATCCCAGATAAAACACTCAGAACGGACTTCCCTGGTGGCGCAGTGGTTAAGAGTCCGCCTGCCGATGCAGGGGATACGGGTTCGTGCCCTGATCCGGGAAGATCCCACATGCCGTGGAGCGGCTGGGCCCGTGAGCCATGGCCGCTGAGCCTACGCATCTGGAGCCTGTGCTCCGTAACGGGAGAGGCCACAACAGTTAGAGGCCCGCGTACTGCAAAAAACAAAACAAAACAAAACAAAACAAACAAAAAAATACACTCAGAACTAGACTCAGTCTAGAAGTATTGAAATGTCCTGGCTTTATCTGATAATGCTATTCTCTCCCTACTTTCCTTCCTTCCTCCCTCCCCCCCCTTTCTTTTCAAGAAATAGAAGAGAACTATTGAAAAAAATTATATTTATTACCCCTCTTGTAGGGGTTCAAGAAGTTATTTCCTAGTATAACATTTTGTTAGCATATGGATCACCCTAACTCGATTCAAAAAAGAGTATCTGTAAGGCAAGATGGGGTTTCAGTCCTCTTTTGTGTGTCATATTTATATGCACTGTGTATTTCTTTCTAATGTGAATACACATGGTATAGTTCAGTCCCAGAGCAGAGAGTGTTTAAAGGCCTCTTTCTCTTTTCATGATTCTGCACTGCCATGGAGAATAATATAATTAATGCATATAAGAATGCCTTGAAATGTCTGCCTTGATATCCATGGAGGGGGTTACGGGGGAAGGGTTCCATTTGCTTTATTTCATTTTGGGTGGTATAATTTTTTAGTTTGCTATCTGTCCTGTTCTATAAATACAGGCAGCTTTTTTCTCGGTATTCAGCAGTCTTACATTCTGCACATAAATGTGACTAATTCATGCCAGAGAATTTTCTTTTTTGTCTTTAAGAAACTTGTTTTGCTTTAGTGCAGACCTTTAAAAATTATCCCAGCTCTCTCCCAAAGAAAGTGGATTAATTTGTTTCTCTTCCCTTCATAATCTTCTTCCTGTATTGGTATAATCAAAGCAATTTGGGGGTTTTCACATATGGAGGCTGACAAAATAAATCAGCTGCTTTCCATCTATGTGAACACGTCTGAACAAAGCCAGTCCCATGGCTGGCAGCAGAAGCAGTCTAAGCTGGCTTCCTGGGTGCTGCTCTTTTCCAGAAACAGACAATGAGCAATAGCTCTTGAAGCCTTTTCCACATCTGGACACAACCATTCCTATGACCTCTTTTAGTTTCCAAAAAGTCCGTCACAAAACAACCACTAATATTAAACTTATCTGTTATGTCTTTTCTGCCAGAAAAAAAAGGAAAAAATGAAAAAGGGGAGGAAGTAGTGGCTACAAGTAGAATAAACAAAGAGGGGAGCAAGGAGGGAGAGAGGGAGAGAGGGGAAACAAGAGAACGAGACAAAGAAAAAGAAAAATAAACATAAAATATCTGATCTATGGCTTGTGAAACCTTTTCTTCTGCTTCATATCAAGATGAAATAATTGTGCTCCAAGAAGATTCAGAGATCATCCAATCCCATCCTCCCATTTCAAAGATGAGAAAAGTAAGTCTCAGAGAAGTCAGTTACCTTGGTCATAAAATGGATCTGTAGCAATCAGGCCTAGAACCTAGTTTTGCTATCTACTAATAACTCTTTTCTTTTGCCCAGCACATTTTCTGAATTAGAAGAAAAAAACCTTCCAGTTCTATTTTCATGTTTATCAAGGTTGATACTGGTTATTGGCCTTGACTGTTGCACAAATGTTGCAAAACATGTAAGCCTAAGGTTATATTTGTTCAATCTATAATATTTTAAACAAAGTTTAATATTCTCGTTCCTGCTTGTTTTTTGTTTTGGTTGTTTTTAGTTTAAGATGACTGTATTCTATCTACAGTTTGCATGATTTCTCTAGGTCTCTTTTCCTACTTGTAGACCTCTCAACTGTGTTCCACAATACATCTAGTTTACATTTTGGAGACACATTCATGCTCACATTGTACTCTTTTCTCTCCCTATTTACTACTTGAATGTTAATGCTTGAAAAGCCTTTCCGCAATTTTTTTTCCATTTTTGCTTCAGTAAATTTATTTCTTGGTCATCTAGATAGAGTGATCTACCAGTAAAACTTGAATATAATAATCTAATAAGAATATTCAAAGAGGGTAAAGCCTAAGAATTCTGGAGGATATCTGGATACAACAAATGAATAAACAAAAACAAGCCTTTATCACCACAAAATGATGGGGAAGGATAAAGTATTATTTGAAATAAATAAAGTACTTAGTTAAATATATGCCACTTGTAAGTAGAACAGCTAAAGAAATTTTAAAGGGAGCACTACTGAGTTTCAATATCATCATCACACAATTTCCATCCATTTCTCAAAGGACTTAAAAAGTGAAATCTAACTATATTATTAATGGAATATACATTAGGCAATAAAAATTAATGAATTAATTCAAATTCTTTTTGTGGTTCTTATAAATTATTGATTTAATTAAACATTTTCCTGATAACTCTTACAGGGATACCAGCTATGTATGTATGTTTACAATTAAAATAATCTTTAAGTATTTCATTAATTAAATAACGGGTTATGAAGACAAAAACAGAGTGTTATGCTACCCAGAGAGAGTGAGGTCAAGTGGAGAAACTGCTGGGCCTAGATTTAACAGAACTTTTCAGTAATTTCCAAGGCCACATAGCTTGAGGTAGCTTCATGTAATTTTGTTAGCTCTGCTGGGGTGAGGGGTCTGTCCTCTAAAATTGGGGTCCAGGAATGCTGCTCCCTGGTTATCTCCCAGAGAAATCAAGAAGTTTTGGATCTACATACCAATATTCATCCACATGTAAATATCACAAGCAGGTTGTTGATGAAATATATTGAGCCCTCTGACATTTGTACTAGTTGTACTAAAACTAAATAAATCCCTATTAAAAATAAAATTCCTTACAATAACAATGATATTAAATATCTAGAAGTCAAAAGGGTTTTCTAATTATCACTTTTTGAAAAATTTGGAATTTTCTTAAATTGTAGACTAAAACATGATTAAGAGATAGAAATTGTTGAACATGATTGAGAAATAGAAAATATGCTGTTTTGATATAGAATTTCTGAAAGTAAACACTTATAAAATTATAATATTTAAGAAAACTTTATGAATTATAAATTCTCCACAAAATGACAGAAAAATAGTACCCAATAAAATAAATCAAAGTTTTAAAATTTTTCTTGAAAAATAATTAGGCATCATTAAACACAGAAGCATAAAAAAATACACTATTGAAAATCTTGTAAGTTTTCTATCATCTTGTATTAGTCATAAATTTTGAATTCTTCTTTAATGTCAGAAGCCAATATATTAATATTGCAAACTTTTGAAAAATTATTAAATAGAAATGAAATGTTACCTTATGTGGCAAATAAAATATAATACTGAACTATAGTGGATAAAAAAGTAATCAGAATATATATGTTTAAGAAAAGTAAGCAGGAAATTAAAATGGGGGATGTGTACACAAAACAGGGTTAATAAGCAAATTTCTTTCTTTTTTTTGTTTTTTTAGTAGAGCCATAGCACCATCTTTTGGTCATCTCTACACGACAACGGAATTAAACAGGAGCCAGGGCCTAAGTTCTTAAAATAAATGTAAATATTCTTGTATACTCTTGAGTTGCAGCATCTGCCCTTTGATACAAAGAAACAAACAAAAAAAATTTAGAAGTAAATAAAAAACATTGTTTTATTTATTTTCATTAGTTCATGAATCATTACCCTTAGATATACTTTCCTGATCTACAAAATTTTTACAATCAATAGAGTAAAGATTGCTTATGAGATTAAGTATTCTGGAAGATACTTGAAAGACAAAAGCTGTTATCAACTGAGTATAAATTTTTAAACTATACTGCATGATTTTTATCTTATTGTAAACAACATTCCGTTATTAACAGAGTACATTTCCAAATAGGAAACTACATAAGAACTGAAAATAAAATTTCACAAAAATACATTAAAAACTAGCCATATTTTAGAAAGCATTTCATCTCAAATATCTCTTTGTTGCCTAGTCATTATGTAATTGAATCTTTGGGTTTGGATTTGGGTTCACTGCATAAAGAACCTCCTAGGTATAAAGAAACATTAAGTGTAAATGTCATCATTCTTTTACAAAACATCCTGATTGTAGCTGAAGTTGGATTCACACCCAGAGTGTGCAACATTTTGAACATTTAAATAGAATCTTATTCTAAATGTTGTCCATAAATTGTAAGACTTTTAAAATTCTCTATTAGTGCTTAAAAGTATTTGCCAAACAAGCACAAGAATAAATTACTGCCTAATGAGTAGTTAAAAGAAATGGTTGGGTGGTCCCCTTTTTCTCCAAATGGGAGTGAGATCATCTTAGGACCTTTTAGTATATTTCTTTAAAAATAAGTAAAATATAAAATACATAAAATATTTTAAAATACAAAAAAATTAAGAAAAGTCAGGTAAAACAAATGGATTAAAATATTACCTTTTATTTCTTTACCCAGAAAGCAAGCCAACTCACTTCAATTTTTTTCTCAATTTAAACACTCAGTAGATTCCACCTGATACGACATTCTCAAAGCAAAGTAATACTTTTTAATGTCTATGATTTTGCCTGGCACAGAGGCCTACCTCTCCTATGGAATAATTGGATGAACTCTAAATAAAGTCAGAGAAGGGTTGTTTCTAAAAAAAATTTTGAGAACAACCATAGAGAATAACAATAAAGTATGTTAACAAAATAGTGCTATGTTAAATTTTCTTTTTTCTTTTTTGCGGTATGCGGGCCTCTCACTGTTGTGGCCTCTCCTGCTGCGGAGCACAGGATCCGGACGCGCAGGCTCAGCGGCCATGGCTCACGGGCCCAGCCACTCCGTGGCATGTGGGATCTTCCCGGACCAGGGCACGAACCCGTGTCCCTTGCATCGGCAGGCGGACTCTCAACCACTGCGCCACCAGGGAAGCCCTTAAATTTTCTTAATGAGATAAACATGAGAATTCTGTTGAAGGAGTTTTTCAAATCTTAGTATCTCAGAGGGAAGAATGTCTTTTGGGATGGGATGAAATTAGAAAAACATGCAAAGGATGCATGGCAGCTTACATAAGATTTTCTCAGGAAACTTGCTGATTCTTAGTATGTGGAGTTGCTTAGTGTCCTTTTCTGCTCTTACTCTCACCAGTTCCCCAGGTCTGCTCATAGATATGGCCAGATCCTCGTGGATTTGTCCATTAGGACGTCTTTAACATATAGTGTCACAGCAAAATGCTGCTTTGTAATTAAGTCTAATTCTATACTTTCAACTGGTGGATATGATATTCTAACTTTTAGAGACAGTTGTTCTGACATTATTAGTCTTTGAGTTAGGGCACAAGTCCACATTGCAAAGTAAAGGCAAGCTACGGAATGTCAACACATAAAATATTGCCGTTACATTTTTTTGTTGAGTATGAAAAATTATACCTTAGAAAAATACAAAGAGTGTTCCACACCCAGAAAAACAATCGTGTGTACATAGTTATTACTAAATATGTTTCCTTGATCTAGTGATATTCATTCAACAGACCATTTTTACCAGGGTGAAGCCATATCTGCCACAGAACTATTCATGCTTTGAATTTCCACCAGTCTACTGATGACTGAAGATAAATTCAATACACTAAACACTTATCTGGAGGGCTTGCCCTACCTTTAGCTTCCTTACAGCATCTCTCACAACTTCTGTTCCTTTGGGCTGCTCCACTTCTGTGCTGCCAAGAAACTGAAAATGGTCACTTGTGAGACAGGCTTTACTATATCATATGTCAGTAAGTCATGTTGATATATATCATGGAATAATAGAATGATGTGATAGTAATTCAAGTCCAAATCCTAAACAGAAGTTACTAATTTATATTATTTTATATGAAAATATAAATATATTACTTAATCATATACAATTCCTATTATCAAGGTTTTTTTAAAACATACTTTTCCTAAATACTTTACTTGAAGATTTGTACTGGAAAGAAAATTAAAGACATTTCTTTGGGCCAAGAGAAATAAAGTTGAATTCAAATTTAAAATACAATAACAATTAAAAATTATCTGAAAATTTAAAGCATATAATTTTTATATTGTCAATAGTATATTTTGAGATATTAATGTGGTTTAATACAGTTTATAATGTCAAATCAACAACTTTCTTTGTTTTCCAATTAGCACACTCAGTGTGTATTAAAATACACACTTTTTTAATACCCAGTATACAACATTCATCAAAGCCATAAGCTAAAGTACATTCAAAAAATTTTTAAAAAAAAGCTCTACAATTTTACTAAGTGTTAAAATATCCCTGGAGGTTTTTAGTTAAAACCTGACCTATCCCCCCAAAAAAGAAAAAGTTTCATAATAATTACGACATTGTAATAAAATCTCTATCCTGGAGAGATATAATACCTCTTAAACAGAAGTCCAATATCATGAAACATTCAAGACCAATTAGAATTGACATGTGGATATTTTATTCTACAGATTATTTCTATATAAATAGCAAATAATCATTAAATTCATTAGGTATATATAATTTTCCAAAGACTATTTTTCTTGTCACATACTATCAATCATCATAACACCAGGGTGGGATAAGAATTCATCACTTCTTATATAAATAGACATACGCATGAGTATGTATGTGTGTATACTTTACATCAAATAATTAAGTAGAACCTTTTTCATGTGTTAACTCACAGAATGAAAGGGAGCAAAATAGTAATGTCAGGGTATCTTTTAAAATCACATTAAATTCCTTCTTTCATTCTATTTTAAAAAATTTTTATTGGCGTATAGTTGATTTACAATCAGCTAGTAACACAACTATAGCTGTGTTAGTTTTAGGTGTACAGCAAATTGAATCAGTTATACACATACATATATCCACTTTTTTTTTTTAGATTCTTTTCCCATATAGGTCATTACAGAATATTGAGTAGAGTTCCCTGAGCTATACAGCAGGTTCTTATTAGTTATATATTTTATATACAGCAGTATTATATATACTGACATATATATATGTCAATCCCAATCTCCCAATTTATCCCTCTCTTTCATTCTTGAAAAAAATAACAATAACAACTAAAGAAATTAGAGTATTGTTTTTCAAAATGGGTTCTGTGTATTACCTGTATGAGAATTACCTAGGGAGCAGGTTAAAACATAACAATGCAGATTTCTCAATCTAATAAGGGTAGGGCTAGGGAATTATATTTCTAAAACCATCACAAGTGATTTCTTGTACTAAAATGTAAGGAACAGACTTAGAAAATAGTAACAGCTGAGGAGAATGGTAGAAGGTAGATAGAAAAGGTGAGCTGAAAATATAGGAGAGGGGCTTCTCTGGTGGTGCAGTGGTTGAGAGTCCGCCTGCCGAA